CCACTGCACTCCAGTCTGGGCGACAGAGTGAGACTCCAACTCAAAAAACAAAACAAACAACAAAAAAGTATTTTTTAGAAACACGTATTTTTATTACCTACAACACACCCAGTAAAAGCAAAGTCGCTTCCTTGTAAGAGCATCTTCAAGACAAGTCTCCTGGCCTATGCTTCTAACCAAACTGCAACCACTTGCTCCCTCTCTGTAGAAATTTTGAAGAAGGCCTGGTGTAGTGGCTCACGCCTGGAATCTCAGGGCTTTGGGAGGCTGAGGTGGGAGGATTGCTTGAGGCCAGGAGTTCAAGACCAGACTGGGCAACACAGAGATACCAGGTCGCTATAAAAAATAAAAATAATTAGTCAAGTATGGTGGCCTAGTTACTTAGGAGGCTGAAGTGGGAGGACTCCTTGAGCCCAGAAGTTATCTGGAGGTCAAGGCTGCAGGGAGCTATGATCTTGGCACTGCAGCGCAGCCTGGGCAATAAAGTCAAACCCTGTCTCTTAAAAAAAAAAAAGAAGGAAAAAAGATATTCTGAAGAAGTCACAAAATATTACTTACCCTAAGAAGCTTTATCTAAGCTTCTATTCCTGACGAGCTGTTTGTAGTTTTTCTGGGCTCCATAATTCTGATCATATACAACTGTTATCTTATCAAACAATGGTGCAGTGTGGTCTTTCTCTCTTGGTTTCTTACACTAGGGTAGCTCATCCAGGGGATGAATTCTCTATCAGTTCCCTCATGTGTAAAATAAAGATAAGAAGACATATCTGATAGAATGGTTGTGAGAACTGAACGTGTTAATGCATATTTAAAGCACTTCACATGGTGTCTAACATATAATAAATGCTAAATAAGTGTTAGTGATTATTTTTCTTTCTTTTTTTTTTTTGAGTTGGAGTCTCACTCTGTTGTCCAGACTGGAGTGCAGGGCCGCTCCCGGCCACCGCAGCCTCGACCTGCTGGGCTCCGGCGATCCTTCCGCCTCGGCCTTCCAAGTAGCTGGAACTACAGGCAAGCGCTTCCATACCCATCTAACTTTTTTGATTTATTGTAGAGATGGGGTCTCACCAATTTGCCCAGGCAGGTTTCAAACCCGCGGGCTCAGGCAATCCACTCACCTCAGCCTCCCAAGGCGCAAGATTACAGGCTGAGCAACCGAGTCCAGCTAACAACTCTCTCACTATCCCTTCCTTACTCCTACCCTTTTTTTTTTTTGAGTTGGAGTCTCACTTCGACACCCAGGCTAGAGTGCAGTGGCATGTTCAAGGCCACCCCAGCTTCGACCTGCGGGCTCAGGTGATCCTTCTGCCTCAGCCTTCCAAGTAGCTGGAACTACAGGCGCACACCACCATGCCTGGCTAATTTTTTGATTTATTGTAGAGATGAGGTCTCACCAAGTTGCCCAGGCGGGTCTCGAACTCGTGGGCTCAGGCTATCCACTCACCTCAGCCTCCCAAGACGCAGGATTACAGGCTGAGCCACCAAGCCCAGCTAGTAATTATTTTTCAGTCTGTATTTGCTGAATGATAAAGCACTAGTCCAAAGAGTCCCACAGCAAACAGACTAGTAGATGTGTGGTTCACAAAAGAGCAGGCTATGAAAACACAGTATGTCCTGAAATTTCTAAAGCAGTTTCTACTTAAGCAAAATGCCTTCCCCATTACCTGTACGCAGATATGACATGAAATTGAGTAGATCTGAATGTCTTAGCAGCTTAAGAAGAAAGTTTTCAAGACCTTAACACTGGAAAATAAACTAAGCTTCAATTATACATGTGTGAACTTCAGAGGAAATTTACTGAATATAACACTTAAAACAACTTCACGGGCCAGGTGCAGTGGCTCACATCTATAATCCCAGCACTTTGGGAGGCCAAGGTGAGAGGACTCCCTGAGCACAGGGGTTCGAGACCAGCCTGGGCAACTTGGCAAGACCTCGCCTCTACAATCAATCAAAAAATTAGCCAGGCATGGTGGCTCGCACCTGTAGTTCCAGCTTCTTGAAAGGCTGAGGTGGAAGGATCCCCTGAGCCCAGCAGGTGGAGGCTGCGGTGACCATGAGCATGCCACTGCACTCCAGTATGGGCGACAGAGTGAGACTCCAACTCAAATACAACAACAACTTCACATTTGGAGAAAAAGAAAACACAATGTCTTGGGAATTTGTGCTGTCTTCGACTCTATCATATAATAGTTCTTTATACTACAAACTCTCTGTAAATGTATTTTTTCTCAAGTTTCATGAGAAAAATCAAGTGAAGTGTGTTGTGTGGTAGAAATAATGCCAAATTGGTACAATTGTGGGCTAGAAATATTGGGTTCTAGCTCACAAATTAGCTGTGGGGTCTTGGGCAATCTTTTAACACCTCTGGGCTTCAGAGCCCTGCCTTGGAATCTGAAGGAATTAGATGAAATAATCTCTAAATTCCTATCTAGCTCTAAAATATGAAGTTTTAAAAATACCATATTTTAAACTTTTTCATACACGGTTCCCCTCTCCCCCACTAGAAACTAAACTAAATTGTGTTTTTTAGGGTAAGAATCAGATCTTATTTTCTTCATACCCCTGTGCCTAGATCCAATACCTGTTTCTTGACTTTGAATAAATTAATTACTTAATGTTTATTGAATAAGTACCCCCTGCACAGAGCTTCTAGTTTCAAAAGGCATATGCCAGGTGTGGTGGCTCACGTCTATAATCCCAGCAATTTTGGGAGGTCTATGTGGGAGGATCTTTTGAGCCCAGGAGTTTGAGATCAGACTGGGCAACGTAGTGAGACCACATCTCTACAAAAAAAAATCAAAAGAAGTAGTTGGCTGTGGTGGCACATACCTGTAGTCCAGCTACTCAGGAGGCTGAAGCCAAAGGATTGCCTGAGCCCAAGAGGCTGAGGCTGTGGTAAGCCATGAGCGTGCCACTGCATTTCAGCCTGGGCGACAGAGTGAGACCCTGACTCAAAAAAAAAAAAAAAAGGCATAGCAAATTTATGGTATAATAGGCTAATAGCTAACACTAAGGCTATTATGTTATATAAGAACAAATTATTGTTCATTAATGATTGTTGATATTCAATATATTATTGGTCACTTGTTGAAAACTTTTCTAAACTAAAAGGTTTCCTTACTGAATGTTTCAGAGAAATTCAGAGTTAGCTACAAAGCTTTAGGAGAGGCAAATCTATGAAATCCTGTAATCCTAAAGGCAACATCCATCAATATCAAAGGTATTCAAGTATTCAGTCTACAGCAGCATTTTGTAGAAAAGGTTTTTATCTTTGACTTTCTACCAAAATTAGACTGAAAGACAGACAGTCTGGTCAAGGAAATAAGTACTGCATACTGACACACTGAGAAAACACACACACACACACACACACACACACACACACACACACACACACACACACAATTTAAACTAAACAACTAAATTGCCTCATGTATCCACTTTCTTTTTTTTCCACCTACTCATTTTCAAGTTAATATTTAGTTAACACGTATTGCAGGTGCAGTTACAAAATAATATGGAACGGGAAACAGAGCGTGATTAACTGTCAAGGGAGTCTAGGTAGAGAAAACAGCGTCTTCCCTGTTTATGAACAAGGACAGATGCTTCTCTTTGGACACAGCCCCCAAAAGAAATAAAGGAAATTCATTTCTTCTGTTTTAGTCATAATGTCATAATGTGGCTGAAATCTGAGTACTTATTTCAGAACTTTCTGGTTCTGGACTGTTGAGAAAGCTCAGGTGTATTTTTTTTTTTTTTTAACTAATACTCCGCTATAAACTTCAACCACCTGAACTTGAGTCTGAATGTTCTTCACAGATTAACTCTACATCATCAACGGACACAAGCACAGTAAGTTTTTTATTGTTAAATTACTATGTTACCATATGCAGAGCAAAAAGGAAAGGGAATGATCTATGTGTGCACTCACATTTTAGATTCTTAAAGAATAAACAAGTAAACAAATTATAAGTTAGGAAAGGAAATCTGAGGCAGGGGCTTCCTTACATGACTTCTAATTTTTCTAATAATTATAGAAAACATGCTCAAAAATTTTAGAAAAACATTTTTCTACATGTGATATTATATTAATAAATAAACTATGTTTACCTCATTAAATTGGAAAGACTCTCAATATTAAGGACAGTCTCTATCTGGTTAATGCAATTATCATTTGGATATAATATAGGCATCAAAAAATAAAGGGGTGGCATCGTTTCAACTTTTTTCAGAATGTGAACACTTTAATGCTGAGTTTCCAGTTCCAGAATTGTCCATTCCCCTTGAGGCGAACAATCTTCAGAGGAAAAACTAGCCATGGTGATGCTCGCTGAGGAATCAGGTGGAGATGTGAGTTCACTCCATCTGTTCAAAGTGTCAGTGTGTGCTGTACCCTGAGGTTTTGAGCTGTCTCGTGCTAAAAGTAGTGTCTGACTGATCAGATACTGTGCTAAATTGAAGTCTTCAGGAACAGAACTTGTGATATCTAAGTTTGAATCCTGTTCCGAGAGCAGCTGCTTGAGGAGTGTCCAATCTTGTTTTGCAAAGTGGTGATCATCATCAAGATCCATATCTGTGACGTGTGTTTCTGACTCCATTTCCTGCTCAAATGCTTCTATTACATCCATCTCATATATTGGAGAGAGGGCTTTTGAAGGCCGGTGGTCATACATGCAGGTTTGTGCCAGTGTGTCACAATCATCTATGTTTCCTGAAATAATTCATAATACTATACAATGTAAAAATTGCACATGTTGGTACCCCTCAGAGTTTTGTAGAATAACAGTAACACAGTATAATGGTGATAGTCCAAAAAACCACATAATGGGAAAAATAACCTCTAGACAAAATTGACAAAATTTTTGAGGCATTTTTTTTCCTATGTTAAAAAACTCAAGGGTAATGTTTAGCAGCAAAATCAACATAGGCAACTAACAATAATTCTCTATACTTTCATTTGAAAACTTGTGATACAGAAAGCAACGTAACTTATTTAAACATAAACATAGAATGTGCACATATATCAAATGCACTACAGTAGAGTCTTAAAGAGAAAAAAAAGACAGTTATCCGATGGTGACTTTGAAGGTAAGTCAGTTTCAAAAAGGGGAATAAATACATCTTGTCTAAAGGTTTATTTGTATATTGCACATGCAAAGAAGGATGCAAGCAAGGACGAACAAACAAAAAAGTACAACTCTAAAGATTCCCTTATTCTTAGGATTTTGCTGAACAGGGAACTATTGATTGGTATTTTTCTAAGTTAAGATACACAATAGCTACTCAGCTAGCCACTATTGCATATTTTAAATGAGGGTCATGAGTTCAAATAACTCTAATAAGGAAGACAAAAACACAAAACAATTAGACAGAAAATCATCTAAGCAATATGAAATAAGCCTGGGCTTTTTTCATACATTATCATTGCTTCTAAATATAATCTCTTTTAGGAAATTTATCTTTTTATCTGAAAATTTTAGAATAGAATTATAGTGATCCTGAAAGTCTTAATCTCTGTAAAATGTATATAAATTGTAATAATCAATCTCATTAAAATAGTTCAGTGCTTTTAGTTACATATTTATTGCACAGCCCTCTTAGATATATACTAGCATGTCCATAAATCATATCCAATGTATAATAGCATTTCTAATAGTCAAGAATTCTGTTAAATTATACATAAATAACTAAATAGCAGCAAACTAAGTTTTTTCCTTTATTCTTTCATGTAAAATCTCTTAGTAGGTTAACTCTATCTAATAAAAAACCAAACTTTTTACTAGATAGTCATTCTTCACTAGGATTTTAAGTGAACAATAAAGAATGAGTAACTAGCTAATTTTCATATTATTAAGAAATTTAAGTTTTCATTTAAAATTTGAATCTGTGGCTCAAGCAATTATTCTATCTAACTAAAATATAACATTCAGGGCTCCATAAAACTTTAAAATTGTATAAGCTCATTTTCTTATGCATGTAGTGTTTTCTATTTCTGTACATTACCTGCAGATAAAGCAACATTAGCTTTTTCAGTAGCTGTAGAATGGCTCTCTTTCACTTGACCTTCCTGAGGCAGAACTTGGCTCCCAGAGGAGTTTCCACATTTCACAGAGCTGCTCTTGGGTATGTCAGAATTGGTTTCTCGCTGATAAAGCTCCAAGTGGCATGGCCTTCCTTGAGATCTGACATCACTCTCTAAGAGTTTGCTGCGTTGCTGAAAGTCATGATCCGTGCTGCTTCCGCTGGTTACTTTTTTATCTGCTGGAAGAAGCTGTCTGCCTCCTTTGGACAGGACATCTACTGTGTTCTTTTCTTCTGTGGCTGAAACACTCTGTTTGTTTTTTCTGCAAGAGTCAGTGCTGCTAAGACCCCAGGGAGTGCTTTCATTTTGACGTACATCGTTGCCTTTCCCTTGTTTACCTTCTAAAATGCTCTCTTTACTTTCTTGTGAGAATCTGGGAAAGCAGGTCCCTCCGGGGTGCCCGCGAGAAATGCCATCAAAAACATCCGAAGGTGGAGAAGTCTCGACAGACGGCTGGAAGGGAGGATGGACTTCCCCTTCGTCAGAACCCAGTTCTTCACATTCATCTACTGAAAGCAAAACTGACCTTTTGAACTTTTTGTTTGCAGAAAACTCACGACTTTCGTTTTCAGTTGCATCTTCAAAAGCTAAGTTAACTATTCCCTGAAACTGCTGAGGAGCTGGGTTAGAGACGGAGCAGTGTTCTGCAATGTTTTCAGCTTCAGACCTTTCATCTTCTGTTTCATCTGCTGAAGAAGAAACTTGGTCTGTTTCCTGAGAAAATTGGACACTGCCTCGTGCCGTATTTTCTCTTTCCCTAGGGTGGATGATTGCAGACCGAGGCCACATTTCTGGCCTCTTCCTAGGAATCTCATCATCACTTGTCGAATTGACTTGGAAAAGATCGCCACTACTTTGCTTTTTCATTTTGACTTCAATTCTTAAATTACTATCATACATTTTCAATTCTTCAGGAGTGCTGGTGTCACTGCTACTTCTTCCGAGAAAGTCATGGCACAGCATAGTGCCACATTTGGAAATCCCCCTGTCATTTGGGCCATCGTCATCCTGAGACCCGCCAGCATCATAGTCTTCAGATCTGGGTTTTATGTCATCGGAGGATGTGGTGGCGCTGCCCGTGTCAGATTCTGGACTCTCTCTCTGATGTAGACCACTGGTACCCACATTCCAGTGACCCACCAATGGAGTTTCTGGGGCTTCATGGCTCTCTGGAGATTCTGAAGTTTCCATATTTTTAGGAGAATTTTTTCCTGACAGTTGTTCCGGAAAACATTTGGAGGACATATCTGAGTCTGCTGTAACATGTCTGTCTTCATTCATAGCAGGGTCATTAGACAACTGATTAGAAAATGTAGATTTTCTGTCATCTAGAACAGAATGGAAGGTACCATTTGTCCTTTCAGGAACACAAGGGGTAACATCCTTCACACATTTAATACTTGATTTTTCATTTGTATCTTTTTTCCCTACTTTGCTCTCCCTATCTGGTATTGAATGGATCTGCCCTGCATTTGTTGATTCTAAATCACAAATTGGATTAGAGTTCAAGGAGTTTTCATTTGGATTTGAAAACCCAGATTTTAGAGCTGTGGTGCTATACAATTTTGAATCAACTTGATCACTCCTGTCAGAATAACAATGTATGTTAGCTGCATTGCAGTGATCTGTTTCTCTGTGATCAGAAAGTTTTGTTTCACTTTTATCTGAAAAAGTCTGTTTTGATTCTAATTCATGTTTTAATGATTTATCCAGTTTTGAAATATTTTGGCTTTCTAGCGCCAACTTCTCTTTTTCTTGATTGCTTAATGGCTTTTGTGGGTCAGGTCCGCATGTTGATTGGAAAACTTCTGCACCACTGATTTCAGATGCAGGATTAATTAGAGGTTGGTGAGGCTTCTGTTCAGAAACACTGGTCTTGTTATTATTATCACGCACATCACGAGGCATACTTTTTTGGACAATAGATGTTTCACTTTTTAACGGTCTTTGAGAAGAAGGCTGGGTTTTCAACACAACCTGTCCAGGAAGCATTTTCTGTTTGGAATCTTTATTATTCAAAGTCTCACTTTTCTTTGACTGATTTAGGTTTTTAGGCACTACCACTACTTTTGTATTAACCTTAGGCAAAGTTGTATGTCCTTGCTTGACATTTTTTCTCTTAGGTGCTTGTTTATCTGTAGTTGTATTGTGGTCTGACTTTGCCACGTTTTCATCAGAATGCCTTGAAGAGACTGAAGATTTTACTGAATTTGGTGATTCTCCTTGGGATCCTAAGAAAATAAAGTTCACAAATACAATATATCCTCCAATTTGTGAGTGAAATGTAATATGTGTTTTTAAATTACTTTAGAAAAAAATAACCTCAATAAACCAATGGAAGGGTGACATATCTATGATCAAATGGACAATTACAGATTAGGAGTTAGTTACATGATAAAAAAGAAAAGACTTTTCTATTAAAAATATGGAAGGACCATTCTAGGGTCTTAGTAAAAATTATTAAAACACAATCACTCTTCCTCAAGTAGAGAAACTTGATCCTTATGCCAAAATTGGATTTGTATTATGTATATGAGAGTGAAAAGAATCTGGTTTTCTTATCCCAAAGAAGCAAGAAGGGTCTTTCCTTTGAAGTTTTTGGAGTAGAAAAAAGTACTGTGTTCTACACAGCTAAAAAGGAGAACCAAGTTAAATATAAAATAGAATTGTTGAAACAGTTTTTTTCTTCGAACATGAATAAAACCAATTTACGTGTCATTACCAGATCATTATTATTGTAGCCGCCTTATTGTAGCTCATTAGGGTAACAACTTAGATCTGCAGTGGAAACTAGAACTGCTGACCGAAAATAAAGAGGGATTAATTGGAGAGTTCATTTGTTTACACTGGCTAAAGTACTGGAGACGATATTTTGGACACTCAAATTCATCAAAAAGAATTATCCAGTTATTGAAATGTTTAATTTTGAGCTGCTACTAGTATATAAATAATTTCTCTCTTCCTTATTTCTGAATTGACTTTTAGTGCTAATTAATACTCTAAAACAAAATTGTTTTTAGGATTTTACAAACTGCTGTTATATATGTGAATATTTAATGCATAAGGCAAAGTAATTTTTAAAATCAGTTATTATGTTAGCAAATTATGCAAACTGATCAATTCTCTTTTCTTTCTCAAAACACTGAAAAATAATGGGCACAGCACAGATCCTGGAGTGCAAACTCTTCCTCCTCACATACTACAGCTGTCTAGACTGTACCATTACTTTTTAAAGAGCTCGTAAGTGCTGGTTTTATAGGTGGAATTCCTATAGTGATCAATGAAACTTTCAAGAAACATGGGCATAACATATAAAAGGATCAGAAATGCAGATAAACTAGTGATTCCCTTAATTATTCTCATAAAAGATAATAAAAAACAAACACACCCCAAAACACTTGTCTGAAAAGTAAAATTATAAATTCTCATCTCTATAGTGTGAAACAAATCTGAGTAAAACTAGGTTTTGCTTATTTGCTACTGAAGTTTTAAATCAGAGTTCTACTTAGCCAGTAAAAGAACACTTATGATACCCAGGACTATTTCAGCCTTACCTGGAACTTTGGCAAGACTAGCTGGGGCACTCTTTGTCCTCTGCTGAGCGGTAACACATCCACTGCCATTTCCCCTTTTCTTCAGAATTGCCTGTGGTACTGGCTCTCCATATCCTTTGTTGTTGACCTTCTTCAGTGCACTAAGAAAAATCACTTGCATTCAGTATGACACTGAGATTCCAAAACATTCAACTTTTTAAAAGACCCATACTTGAAGTAGGGTTTTTCTCAAGAAATAAAAAATATATCTCTTCTGAAAACAGAAAAATCAGATGTTTGTAAGTCTTTAAGTTTATGAAACTGTAGATCAAGCAAGATAAAGTAATACATAACCATGTACTACAAATATAAATTAAGAAATTCTTTTAATATTTTGCATCGATTGTCATTTTGCATAAAGATACCAACTTCCTTTAATTAATAAGAAAGCAGTTTTAAATTTCATTGTATAAAAACATTAAAATTATTAACAAAGAAGAAAATAAATGTTTAAAATAGTTAGCTACAAGTTCAGTATGTAACTACCTTTCAGAGAAACCTGACATACAGGTAAAACACAGAATACCTACCTGCTATTTATATTAGTGTCTTGCTCATGAATATTTTTTTTATTGGAAGTTCCATTGATAACTCTTGAAACAGGTCGAGATTTTACTGCTATAAATTAAGAAAAAGTGAGTCATGAGATAGAATACACTAAATACATATCAATAATTTATACACTTACTGGTTAGGCACTATAAACAAGATTAAATGTTAAAGTGGGAAGGAGTGTTTTCATGCACATAAATAAGTACTTTCTGGCATTTGATACTAAATAAGAGCCCAGATACAGGATCTTTTTTTTTTTTTAAAAGCAGGATTTATTGAGAGGAAAGAAAAGCTCCCAGAGAGGAGGGGAACTGAGGGGGTTGCCCCAGAATCATTTTTTGAAGAAACTTTAATTGTTAGAAGTTATTAACAATTAGAGTCCTAAAACTTACCTACAGTGGAAGTTTTGACACCATTTACACTGTTTTTCACCATCTGTCCCAGAGAATCACAAGAGGATAGTTTATGACCAGAAGGCTTTTCTTCTCCTATTGATCCATTTTCTTTTGACCCATCCAGGCATTCAGTGGAAGTCAAGAATTCCATACTTGAACTTGTAGACCTGCTGGAGGGTCCTGCAATGCTGAGGCATGGAGATTCTTTCCCTGTCCCTTTTCTCAAGGGTTTTGCTTTCCCATTTGCATTTCCGGTGAGTACCTTGGGTCTGGCACCTTCAACTTGCCTTTCCTGGTTTCTCACCCCTCTTCCATTTAATGAATTTTTCTGTTCAGTTGCTGGAACTGCTGCTGCTGCTGTTTCCACAACTTGTCTAGCTGACGTGTTTTCCCACCTTGCATTATCATTGTTTTCTGTTTTGGGTTTTATTATGGGTTTCGGCTTTCCAGAAACATTTTTTCCCCCAGTTTTTACTTCTTTTGTAATCTTAGATGCTATTTTTGTACCATTCTTTTCCTTCACATCATCATGCTTCAAAGTTTTACTTATACTATTTTTATTAGTACTTGATGAATGTCCAGATGCTCCTAACCCATCAGATTTCATCTTTTGAGTAGTAGACAGATAATTCCAACACTCTTTCTTGCTATTTTTCCACCAAGATTTGTCTTTTATAACACCAGAGTCAGACACTTGTTTCCTTTGCTATGAAGAAGAAAAAAATACTTTGTAATTTGACTGGAGTGTTTGGCATATAATACTTTATGTTTCAAAAATCCAGTTTTCAAAGAAGAAAAAAAAAACAGTCAAGTTCATATTATGATTTAGGGTTACTTAAAATGAACTGTCTTTGATCATTTTGATCAAAATTTTGTGTCTCTAATCATACTACCTTAATCAAATCTAAAACAGCATAAAACATTTATTTAAAAGACATTCTATTCTAATTCATGAAGTTCTGGTAGAGATTCATACCTAAGGATTCAAGACGTATTGGGTGAAAAATAGTATCCAAGATCTTTTGAGAGCCTACTCCCAGCTTCTGTGTCCAACCTTTTTTCATACATCATCTCACTTAATCCTCACAACAATACTATGAAATAGCTCCTGTGGTTACTTCCAATTCTTGGATGACAATGGAGATTAAAGAAGGGTGTGACTTATCCAGGGTCATGCACTGGTAAGAGATGGAACTAGGACCTGAGTACATAATTTACTGTCTCAAGCAGGTAGTCATCTATATGGCATGATTTAAGGGACATTGTAAAGATTTTCGCCACAAAAACTCTCTTCAAACCTATCCCAAATGCCAGACATTGGATCCTTAAAGATTTAATCCTTGGCCGGGCAAGGTGGCTCATGCCTGTAATCCCAGCACTTTGGGAGGCAGACTCAAGAGGATTGCCTGAGCCCAGGGGTTTGAGACCAGCCTGGGCAACATAGTGAGACCTGGTCTCTACAAAAAATAAAAAAATTAGCCCAGTGTGGTGGCATACACCCAGTGTGGTGGCATATCCAGCTACTTGGAAGGCTGAGGGGAAGGATCACCTGAGCCCAGCAGGTGGAAGTTGTGGTGGCCATGAGTGTGCCACTGAACCCTAGCCTGGGCGACAGAGTGAGATTTCAATTCAAAAAAGAAAAAAAATTAACCCTCTGCAGTAAGAAGAGTTTACTTCTTGCATTCATAATTATGGGTATTTATTCTTTTTCTTTCTTTCTTTTTTTTTTTTTTGAGTCAGAGTCTCATTCTGTCGCACAGGTTGGAGTGCAGTGGCACGCTCACTGACACCACAGCCTTGACCAGCTAGGCTCAGGTGATCCTTCCACCTCAGTCTTCCAAGTAGCTGGAACTACTGACAAATGCCACCACAAACGCCTAGCTAATTTTTGATTTATTGTAGAGATGAGGCTTCACCAAGTTGTCCAGGCTGGTCTCGAACTTGTGGGCTCAGGCAGTCCTCTCACCCTGGCCTCCCAAGTGCTGTGATTATAGGGGTGAGCCACCACACCCAGCCTTGGAGTCATAATTAAAAAGAAAAAAGCAGCCAGGTGTGGTGGCTCATGTCTATAATCCCAGCACTTTGGGAGGCTGAGGTGAGAGGATTGCAAGTCCACAGGTTTGAGACCAGCCTGGGCAACTTGGTGAGACCTCATCTTTACAATAAAAAAAAAAAAAATAGTTGGGCATGGTGGCACGCTCCTGTAGTTCCAGCTACTTGGAAGGTTGAGGTGGAAGGATGGTCTGAGTCTGGCAGGTTGAGGTTGCGGTGGCTGTGAGCGTGCCACTGTACTCCAGCCTGAGTGACAAAGTGAGACTCTGACTCAAAAAAAGAAAGAAAGAAAGAAAAAAGCTCCTTGTAAACATACTACATTACATCTGAAAGGCTTGATTTTCAGGAGAACAAGATAGTAGCATAGTACTGACTGTAGGAAGTGGAAGATAAAGGATCCTAAAAATAAGTAAAATAGGTGAACAGGGTAAATAAAAGGGCACTGAAGATAAACACACCTCCTTCATGATTTTGCTTAGAACCAACCTTGATATGGAAGGGAACAAAAAAAATTTGTAAGTTGGTAGACATTTTAGAATAAAAACTTAAGATTATATTGTCATTCTTTATGTAAATATGTAAATATCTTTTCTCCTTTGGAAAGTTGTATGAGATTGTAGAGGTATGAGGAAGAGACTGTGCTGTCTTCTTCTGTATTTAAAACCCTGAGCACCATGTCACGTGTTGAGGACTCTGAAAATGTGATCAGCTGGGCACGGTGGCTCATGCCTGTAATCTCAACACTTTAGGAGGCCAAGGTAGGAGGATTGCTTGGATCCAGGACTTCAACACCAGCCTGGACAACATAGCAAAACCTCACCTCCACACAAAAAAAGAAAACAAAATTAGCTAGGTGTGGTGGCACACACCTGCAGTTCCAGCTACTTGGGATGCTGAAGTGGAAGGATCACCTGAGCCCAGGAGGTCAAGGCTGCTGTGATCATGCCACTGCACTCTAGCCTGGGTGACAGAGTGAGACCCCAGACTCAAAAAAAAAAAAAAAAAAAAAAAAAAAATATATATATATATATATATATATATATATGATCAATGTTGTTAAAACTGAGCATATATTGATACACAGTGTAAGGTCTAATTATTTCTGAACATGAAACACTTCTAATTACATTAAACTTTGTCTAAGATAAAATAACATATGGGGGGGTACTAAAAAACCCTTGAAATTATCTTTTGGAAGGTGGGCCCCTTGTAGATCATTCAGAATTTGTTCCTCTGGATCAAACGGTCAACCAAAGTTTTTATCTGGAATTTTGACAAGGTCGTGTTGCCATTTGGGGAAGAAACACCCTGAGTTGTGGCAAACAGATGACTGGGTCTTCCACCATGACAACGCACCTGACACATTGTACTGATATTCAGCAGTTTTTGACCAAAAAATGGCACGACCCCTGTGTCCCAAGATCTCACCCTGAGCGACTTGTTTCCCTGGATGAAAAAAGTCCTCAAAAGGAAACATTTTGCTGATATGGAGGGGATAAAACAAAAAACAGCGGCAGCACTAAAAGGCATCAAAACTGTTGAGTTCAAAAGTTGTTTGGAGCAGTGTAATAGCGTCTCAGTAAGTGTAATGCATCAAATGGAGAGTGCTTTGAAGGTGACATAAGTTTAAACATGTAAGAATAAACATAAGTTTTAATTTTAAAAAATCCAGTTTTTTTGGGTCCCCCCATACGTGTGTGTGCACACACATGTATGCGTATACAAACACATAGTAAGTAAATAAATAAATTATGTGGCTAAATTTAGGGGAAAAAAAGCAAGGTATGATGATAAAAGAATTACTAGATTCTGGTCCTGGCTTTGCCTCTAACTGACCTGGGATATTTAAGAAGTTATTAATATCTCTGGGCCTCAGCTTTCACATCTCTACAGGGTGGCTACTGGTTGTATTTACAACAGTGTTCTAGGATTTTAACATTTATAAAGTTCAAATAAGCTTAGTCCTCATTTTTGTTTTTCAATCAAGTCTTAGCTCAAATGATAACATTTCTTTTCTTTTTTTTTTTTTTTTTGAGTTGGAATTTCACTCCATTGCCCAGGCTGGAGTGTAGTGGCACGCTCATAGCCACCCCAGCGTCGACTTGCTGGACTCAGGTGATCCTTCTGCCTCAGTCTTTCAAATAGCTGTAACTACAGGTGCATACAACCATGTCCGGTTAATTTTTTGATTTATTGTAGAGACGAGGTCTCACCAAGTTGCCCAGGCTGGTCTCGAACCCCTGGGCTCAGGCAACCTGCTCACCTTGGCCTCCCAGAGTGCTGGGATTGCAGGTTTGAGCCACTGCGCCCGGCCCATTTCTCTATTTTTAATACCTAAAACCAGGCTGACTTCTGCTTTTAGAACTCTTTCCCACTCTTCAGACTGACTCTGCTTAGTTTACTCTATCCTTGTATCTATGCATTTTTGAAGTATTCATCTATGTGAAATTTACATAGTATATAGGGTAACTAAACTCCTTTAGAAATTTCACATCACCATAGTACAGCATGATGAAGATTCAATGCATATGCATTTCTAGGCAGTCTCTGACTTATGTCTATGAAATTTACATACATTACTTATATACACGGGGCCAACTGGGAATGATCACTGCATGCTATTGACAAAAATGAAGAAAAAGATGACTCTAAAGCATTCCTTTTAGACATCTTTTCTGTTCTAGGACTATTCTTTCTTTGCTTGTTTGTTTGTTTTTAGTAAATAAAAACTTAAACATAATCAAAAGAAGACAGAACAGTATAACAAATCCTCATATACCTAATACCCAGATTTTAAAATTATCAATTCAACTTATTACTAATTCCAATTTTGTTTCATATATGGCTTCCCCCATTTTATTTTGAAGCAAATCACAGATATATTTTATCCTTAAGTATTTTAGTATTAGTATTCTTCTTAAACTTTCTCTTTGTCTTATCTTATGAGCTTTCTCCTACCTCCTAAAGATCTTATTTTTGTTTGGAAAACACATCTATTCATTCCACATTTATTCAGCACATATTGCATGCCAGATAACTGCACATATATTATCTCACCTAATTTTCCCAATAATCCTGCTAGGTTTTATTACTCCATTTTACAGATAAGCAAACTAAGACTCACAGACAACAAAGATAATACATGTGAAGATTTGAACTCTTCTGATTTTATGTACAGCATGCATTTCAGTGTACTGCTACCTTTCTGAGGGAATTATTATTGTTTCCTACCCACTATGTTAACAGAAAAACAATCTTCAAGTCAGGAGGATAAGGAAGAACAGTGGGACTTTGCTCTATTTTGCTGTAAGGCAAGGAAGGAGGGAGAGTCTGGTTGATTATAGGAGAGGAAGGCAGGTAAACGAATTCCTGGAGGCCTTGAAAAAACACAGCGACAGCTCGGTGGCTCAGCCTGTAATCCCGCACCTTTGGGAGGCCGAGGGGAGTGGACTGCCTGAGCCCACGGGTTCGAGACCCGCCTGGGTAACTTGGCGAGACCTCATCTCTACAATAAATCAAAAAATGAGCCGGGCGTGGCAGTGCACGCCTGTAGTTCCAGCCTACTTGGAAGGCTAAGGTGGAAGGATCGCCAGAGCCCAGCAGGGCAAGGCTGTGGTGGCCGGGAGCGGCCACTGCACTCCAGTCTGGGCGACAGAGTGAGACTCCAACTCAAAAAAGAAAAAAAGAAAAAGAAAAAACACAGGGATAACAGGGAACAGTACACAGGAAAAATATGTCCTAAGGCACCATTCCCTAGAGCACGTTCTGGAACTGTATAATATGCTTCAAAGAGGTTGAGGGGGAGCCTGGAGTTTTCACAGTCATAAAACTGGGTGAAATTTTGGGTGAAACAATTAAAAAATGCTCTTTACCGCAGTGTTTTCCAACACTTTTAAGGTGTAATATGCATCACTGGTCCCCAAGAGGAACTATGGTGTGTAGCAATTCTCAAGCCTAGTTGATGCCATGTGTTCTAAGGTGCAGCATATGATGGACATAAACTTGGAAACAATCCTAGGAGGTTTATTGGCAAAGAGCTCCAGTATCCTACGGTGTCTTGCTCAAGACATTTAGAGCTTAACGCACTTCAAGCCATGAGTGCTCTTGGGTGTGGCCTGGAGCTGCATTGGTTCCTATCTACTGGCGCATGGAGAAGGAAAAAGGACTCCCCACTCTGCTCTGCCAGGGCAATCTGTCCTTTGCATTACAAATTGGAACCCTCACTGCATGCCTCCTTAACATCACTGCAATGCACACATTAGGCCGGAATACATTATTGGTTAAGTGAGCATCTGTAAATTAGCTGGGAACCCTAACCATCACTGACGACATCATGGGGCTGGGCACAGTGGCCCATGCCGGTAATCCCAGCACATTGGGAGGCTGAGTCGAGAGAACTGCTTGAGCCCAGGAGTTCGAGACCAGCCTGGGCAACATAGCGAGACTGTGTTTCTATATAAAATTTAAAAATTGGCCAGATGTAGTGGTGCATGCCTATCAGTCCCAGCTACTTGGGACACTGAGGCAGAAAGATTACCTGAGTCCATGAGGTCGAAACTGCAGTGAGCTGTGATCATGCCACTGTACTCCACCGTGGATGACAGAGTGAGACCCTCACCCCCCAAACACACAAAAAAATGTTTGGGGGAAGAAAAATGTATCTCAGGTTATAACGAATACACAAAGTAACTTTGGGTATATGTGGTAAAAAAAAAAATACAAAACATAAAATCTACCCTGAATTCTCTTTACTATATTTCAGTTCAGTGCAGTGATGTTAACTGTATACACTTTGGTTTACACCATATCTCTATAACTTCTCAACTTGCAAAATAAACTCTATACCCACTGAACAATAAACTTCTTTTCTCTCCCTCTACCTGATCCCAGCAACCACAATTCTACTTTCTGTTACTAAGAGTTTGGCTATTTTAGTTACCTCATATAAGTATACTAAATAACTTTTTTTTTTAAGTTGGAGTCTCACTCTGTCGCCCAGGCTGGAGTGCAGTGGCACACTCATGGTCACTGCAGCCTCGACCTGCTGGGCTCAGGTAATCCCTCTGCCTCAGCCTTCCAAGTAGCTGGAACCACAGGCATGCACCACCATGCCTGGCTAATTTTTTGATTTATTGTAGTGACAAGGTCTTGCCATGTTGCTCAGGCTGGTCTCGAACCCTTGGGCTCAGACAATCCTCTCACCTCTGCCTCCCAAAGTGCTGGGATTACAGGCATGAGTCACCATGCCCAGCCTCAGGTAACTTTAAAAGTAAAACACAATTGTACTCTTAGTACTAATTGCTTTCTTTTAACACTCAAAAAAATGTGAAATAAATCTTAGCACAGCGAAAACTGGAACAACTAAACCCTCCTTTTGTAAGTAGGTTAATTAGAAAAATAGACATTGAATTAGCTCTAGAATTCTACACAATCTCTCATCTACTGAAATAGCTGTCGCTTGCCAAAAAGGTTTTCGAGGAAATGAAAAAGAGAGATAGATTCTTCCCATGCCAGTTGGATTTCAAAAATTCCCATCATTAAAGAATATATTAGGCAGGCACAGTGGCTCAGGCCTGTAATCCCAGCGTGGGCCAATGTGGGAGGATTGCTTGAACTCAGCAGACCAGCCTGGGCTACATAGTAAGACTCCATCTTTACAAAAGACTAAAAAAATTAGCTGGATGTTGTGGTGGACGCTTGCACTCCCAGCTACTTGGGAGGCTGAGGCAAGAGGACTGCCTGAGCCCAGGAGGTTGAGGCCATGATGAGCTGTGACTGAGCCACTGCACTCCAGTCTCAGTGACAGAGACTCCCTGACTCAAAAAGGAATTAAGTAGCAACTTGATTGAAACGACAAAAAAAAGACAAAAATATTTCCATTAAGAAATAGCTTTAACGAATAGATTTTTAAAACTTATTCATAAATATAAGATGATAAACTTTAAATCATTTGGTATCTTTTTCAACGGAATCTACACAGTTTGGAAAGTTTACCTGAGAGCTACTGAATACAGGCTTTTTGCTAAGTCTTCGGTCATCACCTTTGTCAAAGGCAGCTGTAGAAAGAAACGGCAATTTATTTTTATAGGAAGCATCATTATTATCATAAGAAGAGAGGGAATATAGAACATCACCAGAAAAAAGGTTAATTTCGATGGAAATAACTTAAAAAAACTGAGACCCATCTAGTACACAAGATTAATTACCTATTATACTTTAGAATTTTTTTTAAAGAACCTCATTTTCAATATTACTTCCAAGTCCTCGAGATGTAATTTTATTAAAATTAATAAACAAGAAATGCACACACTCTCAGAGAAGATTCATACATTTACCAAAAAAAACCCAGAATTTTCTTAAACTGTGGCATTTTAGATAACTGGTTTCATTTAGTTTTCAACATCCAAAAAATGACAGATTGTCCCAAATGTGCTATTTTATAAACTACTAAATATGAAAAAAAGTTCATCCCCCAAAATATAAAAATACTACATCAGCTAAAAATATTTTCTGGTTTTATAGGTATATGATGAGAAAGGAAGAAAGAGAAAAGAAAAAAATAAGGTTCTGTTGAAAATAAGATAAGCAGCAATCCTTGAATCTATATTGTTCTTTTCAGAATTAAAAATTAATTTATAAGTTAGGTTTACATGGGAATTATTGGTGAACTCATGTTTTTGCACTTTAAAAATAAGAATGTGAATGATGTCAGGAAAATATATAGATAGGAATACTGGTACGAGGCGATAAATATAGTTTAGCTAATGTATTTCTTTCTTTTGAAGATTACCACGTGTTAAGATATATTGTGAAGAAATACACAGAATCTCCAAAATTTATTTATGTTTATTAAGTTAGCTAATAAAAAGTACACTAAATTATCTGTAACTGCCATGTATCTTCCAGAATCTCTATTTTATAGTATATGTGGTGTAAGACAAAGCAGGATCCTGGAAATGGCATTACAGGACTGATTTGCAGAAGCAAATGACTCTGCAATAATGTGTATGGGAAGAAATTTAAAGAAAACATTTCTCCCGAAGGTCAGTAACTCAATTATAACATAAGAAATGTTATAAGAGAGATGACCCAGAACCATTCCTTTATCTGGGTTCCCCAGTGAAGTAATTATGCAGGTCAGGACTCATTATAATTCAATGTATTTAATATTTAAAAAATTTTTATTACACCGATGCAACGTAAAAGAATGAAAAATAGATAATTAGTTGGATTGTCAATAACATTTTAGTTAGATATGTGTATGTATACATATGTATTTACAGGCCTTTTAAACTAGCACTTTGAAGAACTGAAGAACACTGTTTGAAGTTTCACTTAACTATGAAATGCTCTAAAATTGAGAAAAACAAACTTTGCTACCAATCAGAAGGGAGTGGAAGGAAACATACTAAGGAAGGCTGATTCTGTTTCTCCACATTATAGCATTTTGTAGTAAACTATCACCTAAAAATCAGCACAGAGATAGTCACAAGGAAAACATCTCCAATTTCTAAAGACCTTCTCCTCGTGATTTTTGTTTGAAAAACAGAATTTCTTTTTAAAAGTGTTCTTCACATCACATCTAGCTATACTATCGTATTTTACTTATAACGTAAGATAGAGCAGATCACATCCTGACTGTACTACTAAGAAATTTCACATATCTATGCATTATCAAGACTATATTTTAACTGATATGGCTTCCATGTCTTATAGTACAAAAATGCTTGCTCCATTAAAATAGTCTCCTAACTTAAAATGTTTTTAAAGTATACTTGCTGAATATGCCGGTATTTTTTCTAAAGCACCTACTTTAACCCCAAAATAGTCATGAAGCCATTTTCAGGTCCACACTCTCACATTTTTATTTTAATATCTTTCAAACAAACACACATTCTGAGCAATGTACATCTTTTGTTTAATGCTAATGTTTCAAATGATACCTATGAAATGTCAGGGACCTCTGTGCGGTTCCTTAGGGACACTCTGCAGTAGCACACACCAAATCACCGAACCAATCAGTTGTGAAATAAAACCATCTATGCTAGGAAAAACTGCAAGAAAGGGTCTCTCATGGAAAAGATGGAAAAGCTTTTCAGCAAAATATATTTGGAAGGGGGAGAAAGTATGTTGTATATTCTGTTCTATCTGGATTACATTTTCTTTTACTTCCCATCTCTTCACAAGATGCTTTTAAGCAAATCGGCTGCAACGCTGGTGCTAATACACAGTAGGATTGAAAATGGATCTAAACATAAAGGAAATGAGTTTCATTTTCTAAGAACAGCAAAAAAGCACGGTGTATTAAAACTGCCTAAACATACGATCACTAGTTTCAGTTAGCAACCTATTATTAAACAGAAGCACACAAATGTTCGTTTTACCACTTATCGGAAAGCCCTCCAAATAGGTGCTGTCACAAAGATCATGATACAAGAATCAAAATATATGAAGGTTAACATACCAGCTTGGATTTTCTGTTGCTCATCTGTGCTCATCAGTTTCCAGCTTTCTGTGTGACGAACAGCATAGAAAGACTGAACCAGGAAGATCCACAGCTTATCACGCAGAGCCTGGATCTTGCACGTAAAACCCTGTGTTCAAGGAACAAATCAGCAGCTGGTGAGAGCCACATTGTCATAGCAACCAGTCATTATTCCTTTCAGAATCTACTTACTCCTAAGCTAGATCAATGATGTCATCACTTAGATTTTTAAGATCGTCCGGCGCATGTGACTTATGAAGGTTTACTCATTAATAACAGAATTTTATAAATGAACGTGAAACTAAATCTTATCCTTTCAGCCAGTGATGATTTTAAAACACCAACAGCCTTTATATAACTAACTCTCACAGCCTTTTCAAATCAACTATGACATTACAAGGTCAAATACTATACGCAATGGTAATAAATATGATAAAAATTTTTTTATTCTTGTTGAACAAATATAGAATGCAAATGCAATAATTTGCAATTAGCTTACTATAACCATTGATTAATTGTACTTACAAATAAGTCATATTTTAATTTTCCTTTTTCCAAGTCTAATTTTAAAAGGATTTTTTTTGGAGAGAAGAAGAAATTAAGAATATACTATAAAAGTATAAAATACTGATGATTAAAAATTTTTTAATATACATTTCATATCCAGAAAATTTAGGAAGGAAATATTAGAATTATGCTGTGCCAAATAACATAGTACCAAACTATGTTTAAAATTAATCAGCCAGATTTTCAATTTCTCAACTTTTACAAAAAGTTCACTTGGGGGTAAGCAGAATTTTAAAAATGTTGTATTATAAAATATTCTAAACATATACAAATGTGGAAACCTTAATCAACCTCCCGGGTATCATCTGTCACATAGCTTCAGTGATCCATGTAACACTTAAAATGCACATACATTTAAAAATCTTAGAAGAGTTCAAGTATTACACTATTTTAATAAGTGTGATTACATTCAGTACCATTTCCTTTATACTGTCAGAGTTCAGTAATGTATCCAGGGCCATAAGAAGAGAACAACTATTTTCAATGGTAATGTTTTCTCCAATTGCTTTTAAAATCTTGTCCAACAGATCAGCTGTGCTGCTCATTGCTTGAGACTACAAAACATAGAAATTGATAGTTAATAGGAATATATGTAAAAAGTGTAAGAAACGTGATGATCTGGGATAACAAAACAATCACCATGACTTGCTATATAAAGTCAACCAGAAATCATGTTTGTTCTTTCCCTTTCCTTAAAAATCTGCATATACACACATGCAGATTGTTGGCTCTGTTTTTGAGCCAACGTAGCCCTAATAAACCTAGAAATAGGCAATGAGAATTCTTCATTCAATGACTAAATTTAGAGAAAGTAGCTTCCCAGTAAGACAAGGAATTTTGCAAGGACCATAATTGTATTATTGACCAAAACAGTATCTTTATGACTCTGATTTCTAAAATGCGGCTAGAGTTGGCCAGAATCACACTGTGCCTTGCCAGGATACTCAAACCTGTCCCTTCTGCCTTCCTTATCCTGTGAGCCAAAAATCCTGTCCATCACTGCTCTAAATCCTATGTAAACATGCCATCTGCTATGGAATTTATTTAAATCACACTAATTTAATTAAAGGCAACCTGCATTTTAAAACTCTTACATAACTGAAATCAGACCACAAAGATGTGACTAAATATAGGACGTAAGTTTAGACATAGTACCTGTAACAGAAGAGCAAAATTTTCACTCTGAATAATCTTGGAGAAGTTTTGTACAATAAATGCAATGCACTCTTCTTGGAGCTTAGATGCCATAGTCAGGGCAGCTTCTGTCCACTTCACTCTGGGTAAACTGATGATTAGCCTGTCACTTTCCATCAGAAGAAAAGCAGCATTCTTATCATTCTTAGAATTTAAAAAATATTGGGAAAACGTTAGATGCTATTAGTGCCCATAAAATAATTTTCTAGCCAGGTAAAGTGGCTCATGCCTGTAATCCCAGTGATTTGAGAACTGAGGTGGGAGGATCACCTGAGACCAGGAGTTCAAGAGCAGTCTGGACAACTCAGTGAGACCCCATCTCTAAAAAAATCTACTTAGCTGAGTATGGTGGGTGCATGCCTATAGTCCCAGCTAAACAGGAGGCTGAGGTGGGAGGAACACTTGAACTCAGAAGTTCAAGGCTGCAGTAAGCTGTGATTATGCCACTGTACTCCAGCTTGGGCAACAGAGACCCTGACTCTAAACAAAACAAAAAAACCCCTCTGTTTTCTCAGGGTGTTTCCTACAAAAAAATAAAACTCCAGGTAGTTAATGTACTTGTCATTGGTTTTACATATAATATTTGAGAATTATCTACAAAGGCAAACTCTGAGCTAGGAAAAAACCACCTTTAAAGGGTAGATAAAACAGACCTGAGAACAGTTATAACTACAAAGAAAAACTCAAATTCCTTGAGACTACTGCTACGAATTGACATTTGTGTTTACAGATATCATTCTGCATGGCTAAACAGAATAGCTTTAATTCTGTTAACATGTTCTTTACTGTATTTACGAGGCTAAATATAAATTTAGGAAGGCTACAGCTTAGTTATAATCCCCACCGATTTCCTTCCTCTTCTCTAATTAAGACTCTACTTTTTATATTTTATTCATTTAATGATTCTTTTTATACAGAAAAAAATTGTTCACAAATGACAATTCACAAATATCATGTGTTCCAAGGAAAAGAAAAAAAGGTAACTTATTCATGTTTGATTTCTAGTTCTTAAAACAATGCCTAGTAAAAATTATTCATTAAACGGTTACCTGACAGACTGGGGTAGAGTGAAAAACATGGCCACAAATTCTTTGTAGCTTTATCTATGAAGAGGTGGAATCTAGCTCCTTCCATCTTGAATCTAGACTGCCTTTTTCACTTGCTTTAACCAACCTGTAGTGGTGGTGTGTATGTCCTCTAGCCTAGACCTCAAGAAGCCTTCTGTCTTTACCTTCCTGGAGTCCTGGGACTACCCGGCCAAGAGAAGCCTGGTAAGGAAGACCACATGAAGCAGGAGGCCCAGCCTCTAGCCCAGGCACCAGGTAAACGCAGCTACCGGAGTGATCTCAGACAAGACCAGCAGAAGAATCGCCCAGTCAGCTCACAGAATTGCCAGAATCATGAAGTGTAGTTTTAAGACACTTAGTTTGGGGGTGGCTTGTTACACAGCAATAGATAATTGATAAATCTGGAAATGACAAACTGAAATACCTAACATGGACCGCATGGCATGGACTCTGCTCATCTGCTTTGTTCAGATCTCAATGAAAGCACGTTGTCTTCCTTGATCCCTATGCCTTTTATACATGTTATTCGAAAACCTGTCCCTTTTCATTAGCACACTTAATTCGCTTGTAGTGCATTCAACATGAAAATTAGATTAATATCTGTCTCCTTCCCTGGGCTGTCTGTTCAACGAGTGTAAAAACATGTCTGTTTTAGCTCACCATTATATTCCCGGGGCCGAGTATTAAACTGGGCCACAGTAAACACTCAAATATTTGTTTAGCTCCTAACATGATCAGAGACAGAGAATCTATAAGTCCATTTTAGTCTAAGCTTAATCCTTCAATATCAAAACTTAAAAAATTTTGCCCCCTTAGCAAGAATTCTTTAAAAATATATTATTTTGTTTCACTGCTTTGAGTAAAAAATGAAATGATACTTTGCTATAATTCAAGTCTTTTTTTTTTTTTTGTAGTACCAGTATCCTTTCGTCTTCCAGTGACTTCTTCCTGAGCAACTGTGCAGTTACTAAGAGTTGTAGACAATAAGCCCAATCTGCTCTACTGTAGGCATTGCTCTGGCAGGGAGCCAAATGTAGGGTATTTAAATATATTTGGCAGGTATCTACAAAGTGCTTATCATACACATAATGTGATGTGTGCTCACAGTGGTATTAAAAGAAACGCACAGAGATAGAGTATAGTTGTTATAATTTAGCCTGGAAAACTAAAGCATCGCATAGTTAAGTGATAACATAAATGATATATGGTCTTATTCTATACTGATCTGAATATAAGAAAAACATTAAACGTTAGAGTACCTCAAGATTCAAATAAGAAAAGAATATAATACTTCTAGACCAAACACATAACATTTTTTTTCTGAATCAGAGTCTCACTCTGTCACCCAGGCTGGAGGGCAGTGGCAGACTCATGGCCACCCCAGTGTCAACCTGTTGGGTTCAGAAGATTCTTCCGCCTCAGCCTTCCAAGCAGCTGGAACTACAGGCGTGTGCTACCACACCCAGCTAATTTTTGGTTTTTATCATAGAGACGAGGTCTCGCCAAGTTGCCTGGGCTGGTCTTGAACCCACAGGCTCCAGCAATCTACTTGCGTTGGCCTCCCAAAGTGCTGGGATTACAAGCTGAGCCACTGAGCCCGGCCGCACATAACATTTTAATTCAATAGTTAACACGGTCACATAGTTCAACATTTTTTAAATGTATAAAAGGGGCCAGCGGCAGTGGCTCATGCCTGTAATCCTAGTACTTTGGGAGGCCAAAGTGGGAGGATCACTTGAGGCCAAGAGTTTGAGGCCAGCCTGGGCAACATAGTAAGATCTCATTTCTACCAAAAAAAAAAAAAAAAACAAACAGTTGGGCATGGTGCCACATGCCTATAGTCCCAGCTCCTCAGGAGGCTGAAATGTGAGGAGCACTTGAGTACAGGAGGCCAAGGCTGCAGTGAGCTATGACTGCACCACTGCACTCTAGCTACAGAGTGAGACCTCTGAAAAATAAGAAACAAAAGTACAAAAGGCATTCTTCCTCTCTTTCCTGCCTGAAACCACCCATTTTACAACCAATACAAAATTCCCCCTATCTTTCTGAAGTTATTTTATGCATACATATACAAATAAAAAACATATACGCAACTTTCTTATTTTATTCAAATGCCAGTATTAATATGCACGGTACTCCATATCTTGCCTTTTACACTTAACATACATCTTGAATATTTGTCTCTTCAGTGTATAAAGAGCACTTTTGTTTTAATGTCTATGTAACAGTCTGTAAGTTATTTAACAAGTCCCCTACTTAGCATTTATATTGTTTCCCATTTTTTTCTATTACAGTGTTGGAGCGAATTACCTTGTATATAATATTATTTCACACATATGTGAATATCTCTGTAGGACACATTCTTAAAAGTAGAATCGCTGGGTGATTACTACTTGTCTTAGTCTGGATTCTGTCTAAAAAAGTGAGCCTGATTAACAGATAGATTATTTTGGGAAGTGATCCCAAGGGATCTGAGGTACTGGGAGAGGGAAGGAAGGAAAGAAGGAAGGAAGGAGGGAGGGAGGGAGGGAAGGTGGCAGACAGGCAGGCAGGCAAGAAGGAAGGATGGAAGAAGGGAGTTGAGAAAGTGAGGAGGGAGGGGATGAGGGAGGGAGAGAGGGAGGCAGGCAGGAAGGAAAGCAGAAAGGAAGGAGGGAGGGAGAGAGGGAGCAAAGGAGAGAGGGAGAAAGGCAGGGAGGAAGAGAGGGAGAGAAGGAGGAAAGAAGGCAGGCAGGCAGCCAAATCCAAGACTGCTTCCTCTTTGCTACTCAAAGTGTGACCCATGGCATCAGCATCAGTCAAAGCTTGTTAGAAACGTAGAATTTGTGGATCCTCCCCTGACTTACTAATTAAGAATCTGCATTTAAACAATTTAAATAAGATCCCTAAGTGGTGTGTGTGTGTGTGTGTGTGTGTGTGTGTGTGTGTGTGTGTGTACACATTTGAGAAGCACTGACATAGAATTCACTATTGTCGGTAACTGGCGCTTAGTCTTGTTGGGGGTGCTCTGAAGAGCTACGGAGCACTCTGGAGCATCCATCCAAGGGACAGAACAAGGAAACATGTAACCACTGGCTCTCATCTCCCATTGGTCAGGGCTTGCCCCGTGGGATGTCAACACCCTTTCACAGACAGGTTTACACAGGTTCAGAATTGCTCAGCTGCAGGCCTCCCATGTGGAGCAGCAGTGAAGCCTCAGGACAGAAAATAGAAAGATTTTATGTGTGTATGGGATGTAGCTGTCAGATTACATCCTTGGGCAGCGAGAAGCTGCAGCGATAGTTGGAGTACAAACACGGGCCAAGAGGATATGACACACCAGGGGTATCCCAAACACTGCTGACATCCAATCAACTGATCACTGTTTTTCACATGGTAGAGTTCTTCACAGCAACCTAGAAAAATGTATCTAGTGTTTCACAATTAGCCCCAGAAAACAAAAAAACAAACAAGCAAAAAAAAAGAAGGCAGGGTGAGAAAGAAAGAAAGGAGAAAAATAGAAAACACCAATACATTATATGTAATAAAGCTAAGAGTTCTTTTGTAAAACTAGTGTTTCAATTCTACATATGTTCAAGTACTGGTTTCAATGTAAAACAAACAAACAAACACTCTCTTATTCTGGGTCACAGATAAAAAGTCTGGAAAATACAGTAAAAGTTGTGCTAAATTATGCTCTTCTCAGGAATGAATAAGAATATTTATTGCATATAATGCTACTAACATGGTGGAATTTCTTTTTATCATTCTGAAAGGCAGAAAATGGTCTGGCACAGTACTTTTAACATCCATTTCTTTTAAATAAATGAAGTTAAGGATCTGTTCATCAAGTTAAGAGGTGTCTGTATTTCCTTAGTGAACTATCTAATTATATCTTATATTTAGCTTTGATTTTTAAAAGTCAATTAGTAGGAATTCCCTACATTAAGAAAATTACTGTAAGTATGGTACAAACTGCTATTTGTCTATTGACTTT